GTGATTTATGCTAGTGACCGCAGCAGGTAGGTGTAAAGCAAAGCCATTCATGCAGTTAATGACCTGTGTGCTTCAGGTCCGGTGCAAAAACGCATGATTGCACGGGCCGCGTTTCAGCCTGGGTTATAAAAATGAAAAAATAATTGTATAGAGAATGATTTCTAAAGAAGTTTTAAGCGAGAAATGCATATGCATATTCTTTTACTGTTTCTTGTGATTGTGATTGCGCATTTTCATTTTTTGCAGCAGTCATTTGCCATATAAAATGTAGAAATGGCCGAGTGGTAACACACTGCCAACAAATGCATCCTCTAGCAGGGCCTCTGCGCATACATGAATTTGTCAATCACTCAGTTTCAAAGCAATGCGACGTGAACAGGATCAGTCTGTTTCAAAACGAGGCAAAATGAAAAGGCAATTTGATCAATTACCAGTTGATTAATTTATCAGTTGCAGTCACTAAACTCAGTCTCAGGCGCCCGTTCGAGTAGTCGGAAACCTGGAAACTTTTGCTCTCGGTCATTGTCAGTTTGGATAACACCATCCACACCATTCGGAGACAAATCGTTCTTTGAACCAACTTCCGCTTCGTTTTCTGCCAGCAGTTCTTCCTGATCTGGGCCATCCACCATTTTTGGATGTCCCATAAGCAGCTGGTTGATCATACGCCTAGTTTCCTTTTCTTTTCGTTCTTTTCGGTCCTTAATCGTAGCACCATTCTGTACTTCCTGCAAAAAAATTAATCGATGCTGTACAATTCCGATTAGCTCGATGTGTATACGTTGCCCCATGGCTAAAAAAGACGTAGCTGGTAGCTTCTTTCAGGTCATTATTGTTCACCTGTTAATGCCGTTAACAAGCGTTATTTTTGTTTTCAGTGAGTTAATTTTCAGATAAGTCCCTTCCCTTCGTTCGCTGAATTCCTGCAGTGCATCATATATCTTGCTAGGGCTGCTAAAAATAACAGCCATTCCGTCCCCAAGGTATAATTCATTTAGCAGCTCGCTATTAATTTTCAGGCTACTTTTCCAATCTAGCTTGCGAAAATCATTACGAGGCAAGTTCTGTTTAGCCTAAACGATAAAAAAAATGTTGCTAACGTCACTCTCGATCGGTGTACAAATTAGAACGGAAAAATGTGCCACATCTATCGAACAGAAATCGTTCGCTTTCGTAGTGATAAACATATGATTTCTATCAGTCCCTCCATCTATAAGACTTTGTTGTACAGTATTCAATCGTATTTAGTATTAAGACGATTAAAAATACTCACTAATAGTGCTGCAGATATAAAGACGAAGCTGAGGCTCAGCACCAGAAATAAATGCATCAGGCACGTTTCCTAAAATTGCCATGATTAGAGCAATGAAAAATTGCTCTGCGGTCATGTTAACATAAAAAAAAAAACTAATTAACTATTCGTCTTGAGAGGCGAATACATTTAGGAAATGATCCGAATGCTAGCAAATACCAACAGCAGCCATCTGTTGGGGATGCGGCCGACGGCTCATTTTCTCGAGAGCTACTTTTAGGCAAGCTGGTGATGGGTTTGAATTTCTGATGTATGCCGTCGAAATGAATCGTAGAGGCATCGAAACGAATAAATGAATCATAGAGGGATTCGCTTTCTGTTGGGTAGAGACGAACCTACAGTCACTGCATCAGCTATTTTAAACCTACATCAACCGATAAAATATATTTGTCAGTATCAAACAATTTAAAGCAGCTTTTTGTCATTATTGTTTCTTTCCAAAGCACCCCGAAAGCTCAAAGGTCTAACTAGTTTCAAGTTTGTTTGACTGCCAGACCGCCAAAATTTCAGTTCTCGTTCTTTTACGAAAGTTGATAAGATTATGCTGGAGCATAATCAACTTCGTGTGTTTCAGAAATACTCTGATATTTGCGATTTTCAGGAACAAATTGCAAAAATATAACAAATATAGAAGTTTCTTTCCAAGACATTGCTTTGCCGAAAATTAAACTCTTTCAACCAGTTCTTTACAAAAAATGGAAATGAGTTATCGGATCCTCAATGTATGGAAAGGCCAGCACCAAATGCAGTAACTCTTTAGCAAGAAAGTAGGCAGTCTGCAGAGGGCAGAAATCGAGAAAACGAGTTCCAGGCAGCTAAAAAAGAATGTTACTTTCGGTAACTGACAAGGGATGGGAACGAAATGGACAATCAGGTAATTTTATGGATGACAAATTGCTGTAGGTGGCAAACCGTTCTTTTGCTTCCATTTGTATGTCGCTGACAAGGTAATGTGCAAATGGAAGCAAACAGTTCTTTTGCTTCCATCTGTATGCCGCTGACAAGGTAATGTGCTCATTCGTCAACAAACACCAAGTTTGTGGCCGGATTTTACTTGAATGATGCATTAAAAATTACACTTACGGTTAATGGTGATTTCTTGAAATGCTTCGCACAAGCACCTTTTAATAAAAAAACCCACAAAATTTTTTTACGTGACTAGGTAGGAGAGACGTGGACTTTGATTTCATACTAGAGAATAGCGCATGAATCTAAAAACTTTTCTGCTGTATATATTTCCTCCATTCAAGTGTTTATATATATATAATATATTATATATATATGTAAAAATAAACTATATGAGAGGAACCGAGGCGAGGGGAATTTATATAT